ATTGCAACATTCAACATAAATTTAGACATTGTGCATTACAACATACAACATAAACTTAGAGATTATACATTACAGCATACAACATCACATTCTCAGTCGTCCTATTCTGTATCTGCTATATTTCAGATGAACGATTCTCCAACAACATAGAATCAGGGCAAGATAGCTTATCTTTGAATTCAAATGTTGTAAGTCCTGGGGTTAGTATAGAATGTGATTTGTTGTGATGATCAACTTTCCAGAGGTAAAATGTAGTTTTTAAAATGTATATGCCATCACCATTATCAACAAACTTCACTGTTGCCTTTGAATGTTGTGGAGAGAAACAGTTTGCAGTCCAACTCTTGATGGGTAGTGCTGGCTATTGTGATCTCATGTGAATGTAATATTTTTTAATATCATAAATCCATCCATCTTCTTCTTGGCCACACCTTTGCTCTCTCAGATCTCTCATATCTTTTTTTTAATGTGTAGCAGTCAGTTTATTTTGTGAGTTGATTTCTTTAATTATACTTTTAATGTGTCCATAATGTTTTGTGCAATAATCTCTAGAACTACATTTCAACATCCCCCCCTCCCCCCATTTTTCAATTCCCCCTCCTCCTATGTTGTTGGCATCTATCCAGACGGTAGTGTTATACTGTGCTGTGGGTAGGCATTGGAATCAGGGCGATGGCGAGGGTGACTAGCAAGACCCACTCACAATATGAAAAATCTTCCACAGTTAGAACATGGGATTTCAAGACCCTTGTTGCCATCACATGTATTTGGTGTGCTTCTTACCAGACGCTCAGCTCTCAACTTTTCTGTAATCGTTTGTTCATTCTGTTCGCTTCCCGATTTCTCCCTGCGCTCCACTCAACATGGTCTCTAGCATTTTATTCCCCCTCCTGATTTCTCCCTCCATTCAGCATGGTCTCTGGCATTTTGTTCCTCTCCTGATTTCTCCCTCCACTCCACTCAGCATGGTCTCTGGCATTTTCTTCCCCTCCTGATTTCTCCCTCCACTCAGCATGGTCTCTGGCATTTTCTTCCCCTCCTGATTTCTCCCTCCACTCCACTCAGCATGGTCTCTGGCATTTTCTTCCCCTCCTGATTTCTCCCTCCACTCAGCATGGTCTCTGGCATTTTCTTCCCCTCCTGATTTCTCCCTCCACTCAGCATGGTCTCTGGCATTTTCTTCCCCTCCTGATTTCTCCCTGCATTCAGCATGGTCTCTGGCATTTTGTTCCCCTCCTGATTTCTCCCTCCACTCAACATGGTTTCTGGCATTTTGTTCCCCTCCTGATTTCTACCTCCACTCAGCATGGTCTCTGGCATTTTGTTCCCCTCCTGATTTCTACCTCCACTCAGCATGGTCTCTGGCATTTTGTTCCCCTCCTGATTTCTCCCTCCACTCAGCATGGTCTCTGACATTTTCTTCCCCTCCTGATTTCTCCCTCCATTCAGCATGGTCTCTGGCATTTTCTTACCCTCCTGATTTCTCCCTTCATTCAGCATGGTCTCTGGCATTTTATTCTCCTCCTGATTTCTCCCTCCACTCAGCAGGGTCTTTGGCATTTAATTCTCCTCCTGATTTCTCCCTTCATTCAACATGGTCTCTGGCATTTTATTCTCCTCCTGATTTCTCCTTTAACTCAACATGGTCTCTGACATTTTATTCTCCTCCTGATTTCTCCTTTAACTCAACATGGTCTCTGACATTTTATTCTCCTCCTGATCTCTCCTTTAACTCAACACGGTCTCTGCCATTTTGTTCCCCTCCTGATTTCTACCTCCACTCAGCATGGTCTCTGGCATTTTGTTCCCCTCCTGATTTCTACCTCCACTCAGCATGGTCTCTGGCATTTTGTTCCCCTCCTGATTTCTCCCTCCACTCAGCATGGTCTCTGACATTTTCTTCCCCTCCTGATTTCTCCCTCCATTCAGCATGGTCTCTGGCATTTTCTTACCCTCCTGATTTCTCCCTTCATTCAGCATGGTCTCTGGCATTTTATTCTCCTCCTGATTTCTCCCTCCACTCAGCAGGGTCTCTGGCATTTTATTCTCCTCCTGATTTCTCCCTTCATTCAACATGGTCTCTGGCATTTTATTCTCCTCCTGATTTCTCCTTTAACTCAACATGGTCTCTAACATTTTATTCTCCTCCTGATTTCTCCTTTAACTCAACATGGTCTCTGACATTTTATTCTCCTCCTGATTTCTCCTTTAACTCAACACGGTCTCTGCCATTTTGTTCCCCTCTGATTTCTCCTTCAACAATTTTCTTCCCATAAATCTGTGTCAACACCCCTCCCCACCCCCCACCCCCCCAAGTAACTTTTCACTAATCTGTAAAATTTCCTTTAGTCAATTTGTAAACTTCTTAATTAAGTCTCTGTAGCTCCTTTTTCTTTTGTCTTTCATCTTCCACTGGAGAATAAGTCCACAGCCAACCCATGTCACACTCTTCTATCTCTGTATTTGTTCATGATGTTTGAATTTTCTATGGTTTTGTCAATCATTTGTCTCACTCTAACTATTATTACACTGAGACAGATGAGTAAGAAATTCGTGGCTTTTATTGATTAAGAAAATGCCTTCGGCCGAGTAAACTGAGATAAGTTATTGTCAGTGCTCCAAGAGTATGGTGTATATGGGCGGTTGTTAGACAACATCAGAGCTATGTATCACACAACTGAATGCTCTGTAAGAACAACTGTAGGTATGACAAATTGGTGCTAGGTTTCATCTGGGGGACACCAGGGTAGTATACTGTCACCAGTTTATTCTTTGTGTGGATAAGATAGCTAAAGAAACAAACCTGTAGCAGGAGGATTTAAATAAGTTGATATTTGCTGATGACAATTATGCACTGTTTTAGAAAGATAAGGATAACTTCCAACACCACATACACAGCCTCAAAACCTTCTGCATGAAATACAATATGAAAATAAATACTGGAACGAACAATACACAGAAATAATAACAGTAAATAGAACACCATGTTCAACATATCATCACTGTTGAAGGAGAGATATTAGAACAAGCTTAGGAGTTTAAGTACCTAGGCAGTGTATTCACAGAGGATTGTGGATTGGACGGAGAAATAGAAAACAGAATACAGAAGACCAGCAACATTAATTACCAAATAGCGCCACTTTTGAGAACACAAGGGAGATGAATGGTCGTAGACCATGAGACAGACAAAGAAGAAGATGGAGAGATAATGACCAGACAGACCTGCAAACACTTGGTGTTACCAACTGGAAGAGAAGGCCACCCAGAAAGATGAATGGAGGCAGGTGATATCTGCAGCCATGAACTCCAAGAGCTTGGAATGCTGAAGAAGAAAAAGAAGCCCCTTTTGAGACATCAAAATATCAACATGCAGATAAAAAAGCAACTGGTAAATGCACTATTTGTAATAACTTTGTTCTGTCAGTGCCAGACATGGCCAGTCCTAGAAAAACATGAACAGATAATTACTACATGTGAAATGAGATGTATAAGAAATGGCGCAGGAAAAACAAGAAGAGATAGAGTCACCAGTGAAGAACTATGAATAGTAGTAGGCACAGTACCAGTGAATTTTGAATTAGGAATCTACATCATAGCACTCGAGTCACTCCCTTAAGTGCTCCGTCCACATCTTCAGCAGCAACAAAGAGTACCAGTTCCGATGATTCCAGTAACTTACCAGTGAATGATTTCAGAGAACATCAAACAATCAAATGGTGTGGTCATCTGGTCAGCATGGAACAAAATTAGCCAGTAGCTAGAGCATACTCCATGAGAACAGTAGGCTACAAGGTAAGAGATTGAGCAAGGAAGAGATGGTTGGAGGGAGGGAAGAGGACACTACAGAAAGGAAATATGACATTAACACAAACTACACAACTAGTAAAAAATTGGAAACTACATTTAACCCCTCTGCTATACTTTGTGGCAAAAGAAACAGGACAAAAGAAGATGTTTGGATTTTGCTACAGTTTTCCACTAAATGTGTGGATTTTTATCATGGTATGGGGCGTCGCAGTTCAACCCAGTCTTAAATGGGTACCAGGATGGCTGTCCTGGGGAAGTAATCTGGTAATCTTAGTTTCATCTTCATAGCAAACGGGTCACCCCATAGTTGTTCAACTCCTGTGCCAACAAACAAAAAAACAGAATGTTTATCCTAGTCCCTTGTGGAAAGATTGACAGACTGCTGTCTCAGCATATGTACTAGCATACACACACATTAAAAGCATACAGTAGACATCTGAAGTGCTTACACAAACAGTCTGACATTAGAAATGCAGTTCATCATGGATGGTGGTACTAGTGACTAGCAGAAGTCACCAACAGATCAGCAGTTGCACACGCGATCAATTTTCAGCGATCCATCCTGGGGAAGTAGGAAAACATGATTCTCTGTCATCTCTTATGACAGGGGTGGTGGTGCTTTGTTAAAAGAAAAAAATGGCTTAGCATTGTGCGCCTCCAAAAGCCTTGAATACGGTCCTGACCGGCAACGATCTCGTCTACCAGCGAACTAATGGGCGACCCGGTCATCGGTGCATCTCTTGTAACATGCTTGGTATGGTATTACTATTGTTTGCTTCCCGTATGACCATCATAAGCATGCAGATAATATAGCTCTTTAGCATCCTTTTTCTCGTGTTCATAAACGAAGATATATTACATAAAATAGTTTTGTTCTTGTGAAATGTGGCTTTGGTTTCCCTTGTGGATTCCAGAGCCCCCTTCTTTGGGGAGTGAAGGGTAGGGGATGGAAACCCACAGCCCCTTGACAAGCATGTTGTAAAAGGAAACTGATTGATTCCTGAAATCTGTTTTTGGCCTAAAGGCATAGACATTGAAGCCTAACTGTAAACCCTTTTTAAGGCAAACTTCAAAGAGGAAGGAGGTGCTTTGGCTTGGTGCTGTTTTATGTATACATATAATTTTAGTCTTTAAAATGGGGCAGATATATAGTTGTCATAGTCATCTGTTTATTTATTCTGTTTATCTCATAGCCTTCAATTAGCATTGAGGGAGATCTAGACGATAGCGAAGAAGCCAGTGATCACTCCATGCATGACCTGAGCTCCTGGAGAGTCACTATTCCCCGTATCGGGGCCCGTCCTGACCCAGAAAACCCACGGAGGCAATACTTTGTGTTCATAATTGATATTAGAAGATTGGATGTCAAAGAAGGTGAGCCAGATAGTCAGTGCTGACATTTCTTCTTGAGCCAGATAGACAGTGCTGACATTTCTTCTTGAGCCAGATAGTCAGTGCTGACATTTCTTCTTGAGCCACATAGTCAGTGCTGACATTTCTTCTTGAGCCACATAGTCAGTGCTGACATTTCTTCTTGAGCCAGATAATCAGTGCTGACATTTCTTCTTGAGCCACATAGTCAGTGCTGACATTTCTTCTTGAGCCACATAGTCAGTGCTGATATTTCTTCTTGAGCCACATAGTCAGTGCTGACATTTCTTCTTGAGCCACATAGTCAGTGCTGACATTTCTTGTTGAGCCACATAGTCAGTGCTGACATTTCTTCTTGAGCCACATAGTGCTGACATGTCTTTTTGAGCCACATAGTCAGTGCTGACATTTCTTCTTGAGCCACATAGTCAGTGCTGACATTTCTTCTTGAGCCACATAGTCAGTGCTGACATTTCTTCTTGAGCCACATAGTCAGTGCTGACATTTCTTCTTGAGCCACATAGTCAGTGCTGACATTTCTTCTTGAGCCAGATAGTCAATGCTGACATTTCTTCTTGAGCCACATAATCAGTGCTGACATTTCTTCTTGAGCCACATAATCAGTGCTGACATGTCTTCTTGAGCCACATAGTAAATGCTGACATTTCTTCTTGAGCCACATAGTCAGTGCTGACATTTCTTCTTGAGCCACATAGTCAGTGCTGACATTTCTTCTTGAGCCACATAGTCAGTGCTGACATTTCTTCTTAAGCCACATAGTCAGTGCTGACATTTCTTCTTGAGCCACATAGTCAGTGCTGACATTTCTTCTTGAGCCACATAGTCAGTGCTGACATTTTTCTTGAGCCACATAGTCAGTGCTGACATTTCTTTTTGAGCCAGATAGTCAGTGCTGACATATCTTTCACCCCTTTCCTCCTCCTCCTTATTTCTCTTATATTTCTGCTCGTTTTCCTTTTTTTTTTTCTTGTCTTTGTTTTCTTTTTCTTCTTCCTCATACCTTTTTTTATCCTCCTCCTCCTTCTTCTTTCTCCTCCTGCTCCTTCTTCTTTTCTTCCTTGTTGTCTTCTTCTTTTTTATCTACCTGCTGCTGCTTCTTCTCCTTCTCCGGCTTTTTCCCCTAGTCTTCTGCTTTTATCTCCTAATGGAGTATAGGCCTCAACTGAGTCCTTTGCAGACTTATTCATTGTATGTTTAATTTTGCAGCTAAAGCTTTCAATAGGATCAGGTAGCCAGTCTGATACCTATCCTTCTTAGTCACAACTTATGTAATACATGGTAGGTTGTTTGCTTGCCTGTTACACCCTGTTAACCCAGAACTTAGAAATGACTGACCTATCTTATCACAGTGTCATGCGTTCAGATCCTGAGTTTTTCCAAAAATGACCTGGGCTCCCAGGTCGACACAGCATTAAGTAGGTACCAGGTAAAGTCCTGGGAAGTAAAGGCAGCTGGTGGGGTATTGACCACATTACCTTCTGAATGCCAAAAGGTCTATAAAATGTCTGGCCCTATATGCCAGATACCCCTGAAGGTGTGGAAAAAGGTCCTTTGTTTTACTTTCTGACCTTAAAACAATGATTAATCAGTACTCCCTAATCTCTGTTAACACTAAATAGTAGGCGGAATACCAAAGCTGACATCCAACTTGTGCCTGCGACTTTAGGTGGTCGGTCTTATCTTAGTTCCCATGTTGGCTCCCGGAGCTCCATTTTGGAGAACTGAAAAAATCAGACCCACTGCCCCCTGACAAGCATATCGGAGGAAGCAATTGGGGTGTTTCCTTCAAAGTTGAAGTACTTGTGCCTGAGAGGCAAGGAACCAACAGTCTGCATACAAATATGCCAGATTTGTTAAATGGTTGCCCAAGTTCCTGATCAAGACAAATGTTGAGTGGTAGATGAACAACCAGATCTTTCTGCCAGAGTTTACGGATAGGGAATGCTAAGAAGAAGAAGAAGAAGGAGAAAAAGAATCTTATCTTTGGATGAGGAAATGCATATGCAGTCTGAAAAACACTTGTTATGGCAGTACATACTTTAGCCTTGGTTCACAGCTGGTATAGGAGGGAAGCTAAATGATTAGAATTGTTAGGATAGTATGATTGTTGGAATAAAGACAAGTTTTCAGAATAGTTAACAACTTTGAACATCTTTATTGTCATCTTTTGTTCCTCCTTTTTTTTCCTGTTTGCCTCACAGCATTAGGACATAATTGACATTCTGAAACGAGTTCTGGAATGTGCCTTATACATCTTGGTGTTTTTTGCCAACCATATTTCCTTCACTATCAAATTTCCTGTCTTGTGAGGTTTTTGAGTTTAAAGACTGGCTGAATACTAAATGTTTTTAACATTTCGTTCCATCATAAATCTTTCTTTATGACTGCTCAAAGACTCATGTCTGGAGAGGTAATATGAAATATGTTATTTGTACCTTATCATCCACATTCAGATGTGGTGTGAATATTATATTGTGAGTGTTTGCAATGTTACCACACAGGTGGCAAAATTACAGTCCTGTTTATGATTTCTCATTAATATACCATGTATATTTGTTTTGCTTCAGGCACTGAGCAGAGCTGGGTTCTTTCATAATATTTTACTCGTTATTGTATTTATGGTAATTTTAAATACCTTGGATCTTGCTTGGGATTGGGGGGGGGGGGGGGGGGGAATCAGGAATGATATAGGGATAAAGAAGAAAATAAGTGCAGATAGATTAATAGCTGAACCTCAGAGAAAAAGAATATTAAATATTTGTGATAGCAACAGTGGTCTGAAATCCTATGCTCTGATTGTAGAAGACTTGTGTCTTAATGTGAGCATGTCTTGCTAGTCACACTCACCATCACCATGGGTTCGATTCCGAAAGTACCAATAGTACTATTCTAGTACCAAAAAGTTATGATTAATGTGTTCTGCTATTTAGCAATGACTCTTGAAAGCCAAAGAAATCAATCAGGAAGAGCTTGGAGTCGGTGTGGGTTTGTGGATTCTAAGATAAATCCAGGTTAATTTTGCCTAAATGTGTACCAGGTAGCATCCTGGGAAGTCCAGGAGGCCAGCATAATGTTGACTACATCACCCATCGAGTGCCAATTTGTCTATAAAAATATAGGTCCATCACTTTATACCTGATGTGCCAGAGGCGAGAAAATGGGTCCCCTACCTTCACTTACTATGCTGTTTGGCAAGACACATGATGATGGTATTTCAGTGTTTTATTCTCAGAAGTATCATTGTTTTAAATGTCTAGTTTGCTTGTAATCAGGTTGGTTCTTGTTGTGCATTCAGTAATCTGTGTGGATGTTTCCTAACCAAACACTTGATGTCTTTTTATGTCTTTAATTTTGTTTTCCAGGTGATAGTGAGAAAACACAGTGGACAGTGGCTAGGTAAGTTAACTCATTAACTGCTAGTTTTAGGGGAGTTCATTTATTTACATTATGTGAGCTGTGGGTTTATACTTTTATTCCCCCCCCCCTCTCCGACTTATTGGCACCCGCAGACAGCTCCAGATATAATATAATAAATTATCATTTAAAGATAAATATTTTCTTTTAGCCTATTTATTGAAGATAATGATAATTCATTTAATAACACGTGTTGCAAATTAATTAAATTGTAGTTTAATTTGTCTATAAATTTACTCCATAACAATTGTTACCACCGACCAGCCACGCCAGCCTCACAAAAACAGGAATTCCCATTCCAGCTGTATGGCCTTGTTTCTGGAGCTGGCTGTGTTGGCACCTTAAGTTACTTGTGATTGTTAAAATCTGCTAGATAAAATTAAATTTAGTGGACTTGCCTTTCGTTTCCTCTTAATTTCCTAATTTGACTTTCAATTTTGTTTACCAGGCGATATCCAGAATTCTACGTACTGGAACAGAAACTAACAGAATTTCATGGTGAGAATTGTTATTAATAAACTCAGTTCGGTTTTCATATTTGACTTAGACTTTGCTATACAACAGTGGTTCCCGAGTAGCTAAGACCTGCGGAACCTTCTTATTTTAAATGTCTGCCACAGATCCCATAAATTTTAATAGTCGTATGGAAGAACATATTATATAATGTTCAACAACAACAACAAAAATATTAAAATAAAAAAATTAAATTTTTTTTTTTAAAACTACTGAAAAGAACATAATTTTGACAGTCAAAATCGTTATCATTTACTGAGTGAAATTGTCTAAATTGCACACAAGTATACCTTAGGGTTCAAGCAATCAATTGAGTTCTATTGCATGTGGGTCTTCGATAGCTTTTGTGAAAACACCATTAGATAACTATGCAGTTTTTTTCAAACAGTATAATTATAAATATTAGAATCACAAAAAGTATTGCATTCTACAATTAATTTTGTTGTTGTTCTTGTAAAGAATATCACCTGTCTCTTAAATTGTTTCCATAGACCACAACTGGAAAAGACTGCTAGGGAACATTCTTTCTAACTGCTTCAGAACATAACAATTATTGTGAATATTCTTCTTCCTTCCATATCAGTTTGTTATAAAGTTGTCATATGTCATGCTGATAAGAGCGAGTTGTTTTAATACTCTATCTTAGACAATCACCAGGCTCAGATCAGATGTGTGTTTTTTTGTCCTGAATATGCTGCGAGGGGAAGTCGATGAGTAAGTCACAAATGGTTGTAAAAAAAAAAAAAAAACATAAAAAAACTAAAGATGATAACAACTTGAAAACCATTAAGTTTTATACATCGACCGTACCTTTTTTTTTCAACATTATTTCCACCAACATTGAAGCACTTGTCCAATAATTTTTGTTAGTCCTCCCAAGCCTGCTGCATAGAACTGCGTGCTCAGTTATCGAAACCACATTGTCACTTCCCATTTAACTTCTGTGTCATTTGTGAAATGTCTCCTGCCAATGTGGGTTTTCAGTGGATCGCCGCTTTGTGGGATAAACATTTGTCAGCATAAACAGAAAGCATTTCCTTATAAATGCAGGCAGCCCTTTTCCCCCAAAACAATGCACATCAGCACTTTGTTCTTTGAGGGAACACTCCATAAGTACAGTCACCATTTTGTTTCTATGTTGCAAATGCGCATGCAACACCTAGTGCCACCTAACGAACAGAGACTTAAAGTTTGATGTTGCTGTCACCTAATGACATCTTTACAAACCACCAACTACATTTTCCTGCTATCATGCCATTTGTGACTTACTTATTGACTTTCCCACAAACTTCCTTTTCTTCTTAGCATTCACCGGCTGTAAACTCTGATAGAAAGTTCTGTTTGTTCGTCCACTTCAGTTAATTGGTCCTATTCCAGAACTTGATGCTTGCATGCACGACCACTTCAGATGTGGCTTATTTAAATGCAGACTGTTGGTTTTTGGACTCTCATGTAGATGCGCTTCAACTTTAAACAAAGAATCCATAATTAGTCGCCTTGTCTGAAATGCTTGTAAGGGGAACATTGGGTTTATATCCCCCCCCCCCCCCCCCCCCCCATGGGATCCTGAAACCCATGCGGGGAAAATATGCTAATTTATAAAAACCACATTTATCTTAGTATTTCTTTTGCAATTTTTCTCTGAAGTTTGCCTTTGTCATTAGGTGTATCTCTTCCCTAAACATTTTCAAAAATATCATGTACTGTTTGCATCCATTTTCTCCAATTGATGTGTTACATGGTCTGTTTAAATGTATATTGTATATATTATATGTTTTATTACATTTATTTTTTTTTTAATTATTATTATTATTTTACTACTTATAATTATTTTGTATTGGATTTTTTTTTAAAATTATGTCAGAAACTCTTTAAGCTGTAGTAAATGTAGCAGTTACAGTCACTTTTTTTTCAGCTGGTCTAATTCAGTTGTGTTCCACAACCACTCTGTTAATTAATGTTCTGTTCTACAACTTCTCTGTTAATTTATGTTCTGTTCAACCTCTCTGTTAATTAATGTTCTCTTCCACAACCTCTCTGTTAAGTAACGTTCTGTTCCACAACCTCTCTGTCAAGTAATGTTCTGTTCCACAATCTCTCTGTGAAGTAATGTTCTGTTCCACAATCTCTCTGTCAAGTAATGTTCTGTTTAACAACCTCTCTGTCAAGTAATGTTCTGTTCCACAACCTTTCTGTCAAGTAATGTTCTGTTCCACAATCTCTCTGTCAAGTAATGTTCTGTTTAACAACCTCTCTGTCAAGTAATGTTCTGTTCCACAATCTCTCTGTCAAGTAATGTTCTGTTCCACAACCTTTCTGTCAAGTAATGTTCTGTTCCACAATCTCTCTGTCAAGTAATGTTCTGTTCCACAATCTCTCAAGTGTCAACAACCTCTCTGTCAAGTAATGTTCTGTTCTGTTCCACAACTCTCTGTAATGTTCTGTTCCACAACCTCTCTGTCAAGTAATGTTCTGTTCCACAACTTCTCTGTCAAGTAATGTTCTGTTCCACAACCTCTCTGTCAAGTAACGTTCTGTTCCACAACTTCTCTGTCAAGTAATGTTCTGTTCCACAACCTCTCTGTCAAGTAACGTTCTGTTCCACAACCTTCTGTTTCCACAACTCTCTCTGTCAAGTAATGTAATGTTCCACAACTGTTAATGTTTGTGTTCAAACCTCTCTGTCAAGTAACGTTCTGTTCCACAACTCTCTCTGTCAAGTAATGTCAAGTAATGTTCTGTTCCACAACCTTTCTGTCAAGTAATGTTCTGTTCCACAACCTCTCTGTCAAGTAATGTTCTGTTCCACAATCTCTCTGTCAAGTAATGTTCTGTTCCACAACCTCTCTGTCAAGTAATGTTCTGTTCCACAACCTCTCTGTCAAGTAATGTTCTGTTCCACAACCTCTCTGTCAAGTAATGTTCTGTTTAACAACCTCTCTGTCAAGTAATGTTGTGTTCCACAACCTCTCTGTCAAGTAATGTTTAATTGCTGTATTCAGGTAATGGCCAAATATTGTCTGTTATCTTCTCACCCTGTATCTATTTGTTTCTTAAATCCTACCAGTTTGCAAGTGTTTTCTCCTTGCTGTGTCCATAAAATGTTGACTGTATTTTTCTTATTCTGAAAGAGTTACCTTTGCTGCCTGATTTTTTTTTATAGAAACCTTCATTATTTGTGCAGACCATCCATATATTTTGAACATTTATACTGAGATTATCTTGTCCGTGTCCTGCAGCCATATGTTCACATTACATAAATTGTCTATCCCTCGAATAACGGTCCCAAATTATCGAGGTCGAAAATATACCGTAACAGGGCCTCAGTCACATGTAAATTGCGGTCTTCCGGCGACTTAAATTTCGGACTTCTGGCGACTTCTGCCACCGCCGAGAGTATCTCCCACGCTGCTACACGTGGCGTGGAGCGGGGCAAGATGGCTGGGACTCATGAGTAGTAGCTACGTTATCTCCTGCAGGTTCCTTCATTTTCATTGCTCGTGAGATCCAGCCATCTAGTTTAACCCCGCTCGACGTCGCGAGTAGCGGCGTGTGGGATACTCTTGGCGGTGGCGGTAGTCGCAGGAAGTCCGCAATTTACATGTGACCTGTTAGGGTATATTTTCGGCCTCGATAATTTGGGACCGTTATTCAGAGGATAGCCCATAAATTTATGATTTTGTTAGTGAATTTTTTTTTAAAGTACTTTTTGTTTAAAAACATCTTTATTGCTCGTGTTGATGGTAAGTGATATTTTGATCATTTCACTGTAAAATCCACATTATATAGCATCTCTTAATTTTGTTTCTGTTTACCAGAGCTTTTCAGACTTTTCCTGTTGGTGATACTTTGCAGACAAACATAATTTGCAGCA